TGGAAGCGAGTGCGATACATATTCCTTTCTCACTCAGGGGGGGAATAAATATATATAATCGAACATTACTATAGTAAAAAAAAACAAAATCTGCACAATTATTCAATAGAATCACTGGAAAACTATAGAGTTTTCCAGCGACAGCGCTGGGATTTTCTATGAATTTTTTGACCTACGTGTCAATAATAAATATGTCGAGAAAAAGGAAAAGACTTTTAGATCATTAGATTGTGCATTCATTATACTATTGATTATAATATGTTCGATTTTACATTCCTGACAATTATTACAAACTGCGAGGAGCTACCGTATTGAGAACCCCTTTCCGGTTATCGACAAATTTATGCTCGGGCCTTACCATACCAACAGTTCCGTACGCTCCATCGTAGTCCATGCGCCACCGCTACGTTTTTTTGCTGTTGAACACTTTACATTGACTCTGCTCATCTCCCCTTTAATCTCTGGTTTCATTTTGGATTTAAGACAGCCCCCGGACACTCAACCTATTTCTCTTAACAAAAACCGTGTCACCGTTACTGTTACCACCACCGCACCGGCGCCACTAGCTTGTGCACAAACCACGTGATTCGCGCTTGCGCAGATTGTGTTTTTCAAGTCGATTCAGAATTTAATGGGCGAAAATGAGTGTATGCAAGATTGGTTATGCGAATTATTATTTTTATATTGATCGGGATATCATGCCAGGGTGTATAGTGAATGGATGTAAGTCGAGATCAGTATCAAAATTGGTACAAAATCTCAGTCTTGAGAAGAGATATTTTTTTCGCATTCCAACGGGAAAGTTGGAAATATGGAAAAAAGCTCTGAAACTTGGACATGATGACAGCATTAAATGTGGAAATTGTGTGTGTGATAAACATTTTTTGCCGGAAGAGATTATGTGGACAAGAGAGCTTGTTTGACCTGATGGTAAAGTTTTGGCGGTGGTAAGTACATAATCCTGTGCTACTTTCAATGTTATTTTGATATTTTATTAATATTGATTCATCTCCTACAGTCACCGTACACTGTTCCTCGGTTGAAACGAGACGTGGTACCAAGTGTTTTTCCTTGGAACAAACCTGGGGAAACTATAATACTAACACAGGCTCCAGATCTTCCTGAAACTCCTCCCTCATCGCCTGATGATGTTTCTCAGGGACAAATGGAATTCACTTTCAACAAAATCCCTCTGGATCAACGTGAAAATGAGACAAAGTCATGTGAAGGTATAGTTCCAGACACAAGTTCATATAACAATACTACTCCAAACCACACAAGTAAAAACAGTGAAGTCCCTCAGTTCGAGGCAAGTGAAAACAGTGATGTCCCTCAGTTGGAGATATCTTTCAAAAAATTAACCAAAGCCAAATTTCTAATTCCTCCTCGATGGATACAAGTAACAATGAGTTGTGGTAGCAAAGATACATTGCATTTTTTTACCACCAAGACAATCTCAGTTGACGGATACGTGAAGTCAGTGATATCACTAGAACTCATTGTTAAAGATGACAGTAACGTTGAATTAAATATTCTGGGGAAACCACCAAAACCAGGTGATGTTCCATTTGAGCTAAAACCAATTAAGTCAATTGAGCAGTTGCAAGAATTGATTTATTCAGTTGGTGGACTCCAATTATGTGTAGGATCGTTGCTACAGAATGAATTGGAACAAATAAACTGTAGCGTTGTTTTTAAAGACATTTGTGATACTTGGAGACATAAACACTGTTCTTTGTGGGTTCATCAGGAATCTAAGATAGCAAGCTGCAAGTTTTGTCAGCGAATAAAAGGAAACAGTTACAATGGCAATCCGAAGGTCGAAAACATCCAGTGTAACTAAGCGTTTTAATGCAGAGCAGAGAAAAATTAATCAACAGAAGAAAAAAATTGCTAAATTTACCCACTCGTGAAACGAACATTATCTTTCCAATTCAATGGTATCTAAATTATTAGTCATTTTATTTAGTCCGTAAATGATTTAATATTGTTTCAATAAATATTGATTTAATACAAATAAACTGTTTATTGTTATTTTTCTTCTCAAGACATATCTACATAAGAAATATAAAATAAAAAAATAAGTTGCAAGATGTGTAGCCGTTGTCGATGGTATTATAGTATTTGACATTTGGCGCGGTAGAAGAAATTGTGCACAGTACCATCAGCGCCATACCCGGCGGTAACAGTAACGGTACGCCAGTTTCGTTGAGTGTCAGGGGGCTGATTTAAGATTGGGAACGTTTTTCTGTTATCGACTGTATCCATGGTAATAGATGAAAATTTCTTTACCCACAGAGCCGGCCTCTCGATTAGTTCATGCGCGCTACCGCTATTAATCTCTTTTTTAACAGTTCCCATATAAGCCTGAACAATCCCCCTTATTATCTCTGACACATCCGTTGATTCTAGTTATATATGACTGGTTATCCCGGTTATCGTCTACTCGATGTTTTGAGCCATTAAGCATCCAGCATAATACGCTCCAAACAATCTAAAGTTGATTATTTTTTTTCAACCCCTCAAGAAAAGTGTTCTAAATAATCAAACATCATCGTTTTACCTGAAAGAGTAGTCCCGCGAGGTAAATAAAAATTTCGCTAAATTCTGAGGAAGCAAAATGGCAGCAGCCGACTCATCCGCGGACGACAGTCTTTATCCGATCGCTGTTTTGATCGATGAATTGAAGAATGAAGACGTTCAGGTAAGTTCAAGACAATCAAACGATTATTAATAATATCACACAATTTAATTCAAGTATTTCCATTGATTAATTATTGATTATAAGTGTGATATGGTGAGTTAAATGTAACCTGTACTTGTGCACCACTCAACAAAGTGTCGAACGCATTGTTAAGACGTCACTGAAACAATGCGATTGTTTGACAGGTGTTAATTACGTGATTTATTGGCAATTAATGATTTTCGAATACCTGAGTGAATCAGCGGTTGAATAAAATCAGTAGAATTAATTTTTATGTCGGCCTCTTGAAGATATCGCCGAATCTGAAGGAGATTGCTGAATTTTCATTTTAGGAAGATGTTTATAGCTGTTGGTTTCGTCTACAAAAGAGGAATATTGGTTATGAGTATTCGTCTTGTTTCATTAAATTTAGAAATATTTATGAACGAATCCTGACAGTACATTCAGGGTGTCCAGCCGTCAGGAAAATCTGGAGAACCAGCAATTGTCAGGGAATTTGATTGGTCTGGAAATGTCAGGGAATTACGACAATTTTCTGGAATTTTAAAATTTAAAGCTTGTTTTCCCCAACTCCCTAAATTTTTGGGAATTCTTCTGTTGACAAAAAACATTGTCCTGGAATTTGATCTCAAATTTACTTAGAAAAGTGGGATGTTAACATCTTCCTGTGGGATAAGACTGAGAACCCACTGTTCTTGTGGTTTTTCGGTGGAAAATTTTAAGTTCAGCATTCTACTTTTCAAAGGAATTCTTTCATATTAAGATGGTGGAAATATTTGAAAAATACTCATTTCCAGCAATATACAAACTGCAAAAACACTGAGAGTTCCAACCTGATCCGCTAGAGAGATGTTATCATCCTAATTTTCTACACAAATTTTTCGCTGTACGTATTTTTGTTGAACCGTTGACAGTAATCACCTCTTAAAAGCGGAGACCTCGCTAAAATTAAAAACTCTGAAAATTCCCTTAGCCATACTTTCTTTATTGCGCAATGTCCATCTGATGTAGATTTTTGTATTCTGGCATTTTCATTAGACTAGAAAATGAAATTAAGTACCCATTTTACGTCATAAATTATGGATAATAGCTCATGTAAAAAATGTTGGTTTCAATGCACTCTTTTTTATTTGTTCTTGCATAATGTTTAAAAAATCGAGTGAAGCCGACAGATTAAATTCAAAAGATTCATTTTTTTCTCAATCCATTCTATGCAATGGAAAACGAATACACAATTTTATTCTTTCAAGTCTGACGAGCATTAAAAAAAAATTTGAATTGGATGAAAATTATGATGTTTTAACCCTCTAAGGTAAATTTCAATATCCCCACTCTATGGTCTTCAAAACGGAATGCCGATATCCCCACTAAAGCGTCCTACTACGTTTTTCAACATAGAGTCTATAAATTGAACATTCATTAGAAAAAAAAGTTTTTTATGGTCTAGAATTTCATCAATTTAACCGGGAAAACTCAGGGAATTTTGTTAAAACTTCCAGGTGGATACCCTGACATTATTTAGTTTCAATGATTCATTACTGCATATATGTGTATATATATACATGAGGTTGTTTTTGGACTGGAGGGGTTTAAGAAGAAATGTCAAGAGATATTTCTTTTAAGACATTTTATAATCATCAAAGAAGATAAAAGAAAATCTTTGATATTTTGAAACAACTTATTAACTAGATATTTTGGTGATTTATGAAACCTTTTTGTTAGGAGTCTCTTGACGTATTTCTGTTGATCTGTTGTACATATATCTCGAAAGCTGGAAAATTTACGATGAAACGTCAGGAGACATTTTTCTTGGCATTCCGGGATATTCGCATAATTAACAAGACTGTCTCGTTGCAATCCCTTCTATCTGCTGAAGTTATAAAAAAGACCAACAGAGGAAATATTTTGAGACTGAATGAATCCAACTGAAAATGTTCTTCGTCTTCCTCAATCATACGAATCAGTCAACAATGCTAGTATTTGAACTACTAATTTTCCATACAACTGCATCATCAGCAGAACGATTTTATTGGTGTGCTTCCTATCCTCCAATTATATGAATTAGTTTATCACGTGAATCGCTCTGAAACGCGTGGGTTTACCATAAAACATCAAGGGGCATTGCCCCTTGCAAAATTACTCACTCTCCAGATAAACCCCTAATTACGACTCGAAGTTGGTAAAGTTGATTCTACAGTTTTAATACCACCACACTACTGCATTCATTAGTCGACTTGAATTAATTTTTGTTGCCTTCTCACCTTGCAGTTACGACTCAACTCAATAAAGAAGCTATCGACAATTGCCCTGGCCCTTGGGGCTGAACGAACTAGAAGTGAGTTGATGCCTTTCCTCACAGAGACGATCTACGATGAAGATGAGGTTCTCCTAGCCCTTGCTGAGCAACTGGGTTCTTTCACTCCATTGGTTGGTGGGCCTGAGCATGTCCACTGTCTTCTACCACCCCTGGAGGCTCTTGCAGCAGTCGAAGAGACTGTCGTGAGGGACAAGGCTGTGGAATCATTGAGAAACATCGCTGGACAACACAATCCTGCGTATCTTGAGGAGCATTTTGTTCCTCTGGTGCAGAGATTAGCTGGTGGAGACTGGTTTACGTCCAGAACTTCTGCATGTGGATTGATTAGTGTCTGCTATCCCAGGGTCAGTCCTGCTACCAAAGCAGAACTGAGGAATCATTTTCGAAATCTCTGCCAGGATGACACTCCCATGGTTAGGAGATCTGCTGCCTCCAAGCTTGGAGAGTTCGCTAAGGTCGTGGAAATCGAGTATCTGAAGTCAGATTTGATACCCATGTTTGTTATCCTGGCGCAGGATGAGCAGGTGAGTTCCTTTTGGAATTACAGGGGATTTTGGGACATGGGAGGCCATAGACCCTAGCCAGAAACAAAAACGAATTCCAATTACTTCTGTTCCCATACAATTTTTACTCATAATCAAAAATCTTAGCCTGTAGTTAATAATATGTGGAACAATTTGAGAAATCCTATTCATTTACTTATCGAGCTTTTTATTTTAACTACCATGTTATTGATTTAATTGTCTATTTATTTATCAACGTAAAACCTGCTATTTATTTTATTCTGTCTTAACGGAATTTGAACGATGCAACGGAAACAAAAAAAGATTTTGAACATCTAGGATACACACGAATTCATATCTCCTTGTTTATATATATATATATATATATATATATATATATATATATATATATATATAT